TTTGACCCGATAATAAATATATAATAAGCTCTGACCTTGCTTAATAAGTGACACGTGGTAACCAACTTGAACCTATACGTAACCTGTTGAGACCTAACTTGGACCTATACGTAACCTGTGGTGACCTAACTTGGACCCTAATCAACCTAGGCCTGACCCGTGACGACCTCTGGCAAATATAGCCTTATTGAAGCAGCGATACTTACCCCAATCGATAATTATTGCTACATACGGATCCGGACTGTACAACTTACCATCCGGATTTATGCTTACGGCGCTGGACTAAATTGGCCTGGACATATAAAAGCTCTCCCTAGTCGTAACATCATACAGCTCACAGAGTCATAAAGAAAGCCGTCACCAATAAGCTAGGTTATTACTATTACTGATCTCTGTTGTAAACTTGTATTTCTTGCGCGCCATTCTTTAATTGATATATTATTCGCATATTAAAAAATAATAATACATGATGTGTCGCTTTGCAATTAATAGCATAGTGGTTGCAAGATCGCCGATTCAAATTTAACGGTCTAACGAGGAGACAAAACAATGCCAGGATCTAGATTGAAACCAGTCACAGTTGTGTGGCGTAATATCAAGAATTAAAGCAAATAGGAAATCCCCGCGTCAGATATTATCGATGAAATTCCGTTTACAAAGACATACGAATGTTCTGGATGATCGGAACAATATTTGGATATTTAGACTATCAAGGAAATACCCCAGCCCTAAGAACTTAGTGATCTTACAGATATGTAACCCTCAATAACAGTGCTTACAGTTGGACTATGTTCAATAAAAATTCATTTGGACACAGAAATATGGACGTAAAAATTCTAAATGTCCAAATTTTCCAAATAAAATTTTATATGTCCAAACACTGCTCAATCTCAGGAGGCAGGGACAGAAAATTACAAAACAATCAAACAAAAAAAAAAAAAAAATACAAACGCCTGAAGAGATCGTGCCAATATGATTAAATAAAAAAAAAATTGTGTTGCATCAGAATGAAATTCATTTACGCGATGTGTATAATGAATGCAAAAACAGTTTATTGTGTGTTTCATGCCGAATTAAATGACTATTGAAATATTCATGCACTTTGCACAAGCTTTTATGTCATGATGTGTTCAAAAACTATAAATAATTAATTTTTTTTATCCTATTAATATTGCATTGCGTACTTTTCCACTTTTCATTATCGATTAAATACTTGAATTTTTAACAATCAAAGAATCAATACTAAAGCAGAATGTTAGTATGTTTCAATACCAACAAATAGCATTGCAAAATTTGGCATTGAAGTGAAAGTATATGAAATAGATTTAATAATGAGGGATTCATTAAATATTGTCGTAACTAAAGCATTTACTACAGTACTTTTTGTTTTAACCATAATGTAACAATTAAGTATTTACTACTTTCTGTTTTAACCATACAATACTATAGCGACCGAAACTATTTCAGCCTATTCAAACTAGTTACTATATAAACTATAATATCTTCAACATAAGCCGAAATACTTTGGTCATATGTATAATACAGTATGAGCAGTGCTCCTTATGGGATTGGGAAAACCAGACTTCGGCTTTTAAACATAAAACTTAATTTGAAAAATCTAAATTGAGTTCAACAAATTATAAATTTGAAGTCAGAATTTGTTTTTCTTATCATCACTTATATAAATTATCAATTTAGTTCGACGCAAATCTTCTATTTTAACTCTATGTATCTCTAACTCAAATTTTAAATCCACACCTATTCTAATTTTATTTCATGAATTTGAGCAAAGATATTGTCTAATCAAATAATATAATTCGATGCAAAAGTATACTAATATATAAAAAAAAAACTTTACATGTGAAATCTCAATTCAAGCTTTATTAATAGCGTAATTGTCTAAGAAATCTTTGATTACATGAATATTTGCAAATAAAGAAATAAGTGACGATGTAAAGTTAAGCAACAACCTCCCACTCGACATAACGTTCTAAAAATGTGTTCATTCCAACATCAAGTAATAAATGTCTATCTCTTTCATCTTCAAGCGACAGCACATTGTTTTGCTCATCTTCCCTCATACTGACACCAACTCTCTTAGGTACGATTCTATGAACCGTTCGACGGCGTAATCCGACCTCTTTCGCAGTTTTATTGGCTCCCTTCGTTTCCATATATGTTTCAAATGCTTGAGTATGATCGTATAACGCATTAGTTTCATTAGAGATTTCATCCAGAATATTAAAAATTTTAGCCATTACATTATTATCTGACGAATTATATTTATTTTTATATTTATCATTATTTTTCGAAATAACATTTTCCATTACTTTTGGTAGATCAGATTCTGGAATAGAAGGCAACCAATTCATGAAAAGAGTAATTAGAGTTGCATGTGGATTATTGGCATTTAGAAGTGGCCGGAATTTGGTTAATGTGGATTTAATACCAACATATGATTCGTCACTAATGTTATTTACATAAATTCTATCAAATCGTTTGCTTTTTAAATTTTTACCAAGTTCGAGTGCATCCTCATCATACAAATCAAAATTAATTGTCAAATTTTCCAATCGATCAATGAATATCCCAAATTGTTCACGGAGATAAAAGTAAAGTTTTCCATAAAGGTCTTCGTCTGCTGTTCCATGCTTAACCTGGACAACGCTAGATATATCCCATCCTGAAAGTGGTTCGGAGTTATCAGGCAATAGCCAACCATATGTTGGATCTAAGATGAACTTATTCTGTACGTTATGATGAGCGTTCAACGCACCATATGGGAGAAGAATTCCATGATGACGGAAGTTATCAAAACAAATCCGTTCTCCTGGCGTAAGAGCCTGCATATGTCGGTGTCGATAATCTATACGTGCTGGATCTAACATAATTTTATTGCGCAACATTACACCTGTTTGTAGATCAGTGCTATTTTCAAGCATTTCTGCGAGGCACATCCACGTATTAGGACTAAAATGTGTACAAATCTTAACTTTACACTTAAATTCATATTCTTCCGTAATCTGTGAACCTGACATATTCGAACCTAATAAATCTTGAAAAACAGTATTAAATATTCCATAGCATCCAATCATTTGCTCATCAGTAAGTGCTGATGAGTACCAAATATGAATAGCGATATCAATAGCATTCTTTCCAAGTTTTGCAAATAGATAAAGTATTATAAAATTTCGAACCACAACCCTTTCGGCAAAATCATTAACACAAATATTAACTGGTTGATTGAAATCGAGTGGTATTCCATTCACTGACATAATAATATCATTGAGATCTCCACTTGCAGCAAAGAGAAGATTGATGGGCTCATTAAGGCTTG